TCAGCAATAATATGTTCTAATTTGTTTCGTTCTGAAGAACAATCGATTTCTAGATATTGTGGATTACTCAATTGTGTATGTGTTTGTCAAGTATGATCAGAATAAATACAATGATTTCGCAATGATGAACGTTACTTGTTGATTAAAAAAAAAAGATGAATCTCATAGATAACTATCGATGAAACTAATAATCGTATGATATTATAATTGGTCAGAGAGAATCGAACAAACAAAAAAATGAATAAAGAAAATCTAATAAATGAATAGAAATAAATTTCCATGGTATCGAAAGAAAGAGAAATCTTTTTGAATTATATAAATCTCTCGAAGAGATTTGAATGATATCTTTTCAAAGAGTTTGTTATGTTTCTTAATGTTTTATCTCAATTTAAGAAAAAGGATTTTAGAAATAAAAAATGTCTTTGTTTAGGGTGTGGGTACTATTGAAGATTTGAATTTGATATAAAATATTTTTAGAATATTCTATTAATAAATGAAAAAAAAATAACGAAAGAATGAGAAGTTGTTGAAAACTTATGACAAATATGCAATAAAGAAAAATCTTTGTTTAGAAATATCTCATCACTTATTCGATTCGACTCACTTTAGAAGTGAATACGTCAGAAGATAATTCTTCCCTTCTTTTAATTGTTTTATAAGAGATAATAAGCAATTAATGACATGCCTTCATCATAGAGACGTTTTCCATTCCAGTGGAAGTACGAGTGATTTTTATTCGCATTAATTGCTTGTTGAGATTCTTCATTTTGATATTTAGGTGATGATGCTAAGAAACTTTGTGTTGTGATGGATCCTAAAGAAACGAACAGAAAAATAAGACTAAACAATGCATATTCAAGAATGAATAGAGATTGTTTTGATTTTGTTATAAAATGGAATTATTTCCAAAAGGATAAAATGAAAAATATATTTTGCAGAAAATGATGTTCTTTTTTGTGTGTACATAACTGTTATCTCATATTAGAAATTATTAAATTTATTCCTATGTCAATTCAACATGATTAAACATCTGATATACGTAGTAGATAGATGATCGGATTCGATATAAATAATGTTATTTTGCATTTCTAGTGATAATCAATTGCATTAGAGATAAGAGAGTAAGAAAAAACAAAGAATTTAATGGTGTTCTTTTTTGATGAAGGATGACGCTTTCGGAAGAAGAAAGTGGAAACTTTTATTTGTTTTGTGTATTTCATTTCTTCGTGATTCTTTCAGTAATTGTTGGTGTGAATTTTAATAAAATCCATTATTTAAAAGAGGTTACTAGATTTTCTAATAGTTTAATTTTTACTTCTGTTCCTGTTGCACTTGTCATATTCATTTTTTATTTATTGAAACTTTAGTCTATTTATTTTACATGACCTTTTCTTTTTCCTATTTCTCATACGTAGTGTTGTAGTTCATTTTAAAACATGCAACAGAATAAAAATTAGTTTTTGTTGATATACGTTTTCATTTTGTGGGTTTCATCCCATCACAAACTCTTCTCTCAATATAATATCGACTTGAAAAAGAATGAAGAGAGAATTCCTTTTGAAAAAAAAAGAAAACGACATGTTAACGTTTACGCTGATCGAATGAATGTCTACTCAAACAAATTGATGGAATATCTGATGGAGAATTAAAATAATCAATAATCGTCATCATCATTATCATCATCTTCATGGTGAATAATGAAATATAAAACTATTTACATAGTAATACATTGATATTTATATTTCGATAGGTATTGATGAAAAAGTTTTCAGACATCACTAAAATAATCAAATGGGATGTAGATTATTTATGACTTATTTTCTCAAATACTTCATTGAATAAAATGTCATTTGTTAAATGATATTTGTCTTTGTTTGCTTTTGCTACCAACTGATAAATATCAACAAAAAAAAACTAAGAATAGAATGTTTTTCATTGGTCATTGTCTGCTTATTGTTCGAAATCATTGAACAAATATATAAAGTTATGGGAAGGCACTCTTCTCTCCGAAATTGAAAGTGATTTCATAGTTATCGTTGTTTGATAATTGATCTTGGAAAAATGGAAAAAAAATCTTTATCATCATGCTTCGAAACGACTCAATTGAACTCATGAGCAATGTAAGATTTAGTTCTGTTGTATTTGAATATCGATATGTTATATGAATTTCTGTAATATAGATCATTGTTCAACATTTGACAATCTCTCGAGCGAGTTGATTCTTGAACTTTTCGAATATTTCAATACAAAAGAAATTCTTCAATCTCACTGCATTCATCAATGAATGTATATTCGATCAACGTCAACGACTACATTTACATCTTGATCATCAAATGTCTTCCTTTGCTAACAGCTATTCTCCTGATAAAGTCATCTCACTTCGAATTGAACTTCTCATTGTTCCACTGAACACATTTCCTAATTTGAAATTACTTCGCATCGTTCATGACAGTGAAAAAGAAGATGAATGTCTCAATATAAACTTCTATATTTGTTTAGATGTTCGAATTGTCTCAATTAGTTACCTTCAAACTATCACTTGATCCTAAACTAACGTTGATTGGTCACAAAATGATCGAAATTTCATTCTGTCATCCATCTCTTCGACGAATCATTCTATCGAAGATCAAAAAACCATATCTATCACCATCATGTCTAATAAATCCAGTGAGGTTGATCTTCCCTTCTATGAAATTCATTTATGTGTCCAATGATTTTCATAATGAACATTTTCATTATCTTCAGTATAAAGTAGGCAGCGAAGGAGTTGGACATCTTGAGCCACAGTATCATGTCCGTTCTCTCAATCTCAATTTTAATAATTGGCGTATGTGGATGTCACAACAACTCGTGTCTTTGCTGTCTTTATTGGTTGAACTGAATGTTAAAGGTTGTACACAAGCTCCCCATTGGGAATGAGATGTTGAAAAATTTAACAGCATCACGGCTGGTGGCTATTGACATTTGCATCGTTTATTCGCTATGAACAAGACTAAAGCTACTTCAAAGATTTAACGACGCTGTAAAGAAAAAATTTGAAATATGCAAACGAATCAATTTAGCACTCGGAATAAGAAATAAAGAACCAGGTCGGAGCGGGTTCGAGATTAGCGCCTCGCTTAGCATGGACTAAATTTATTTATCTTTAGTATTTGCGTGTTTGTAGGACTTGCGAGATTTTGCAATTCGATTTTCTAGTGTTCAAAGATTTAACACCTATTGAAGTAAACATAGAAAAAGAGGTTGAATCCGATCAATCTCTGTAGACTTAACTCTAATGTACCTCGGTAAAATGAATTTAACAAAGTTTTTTCATTCCATTCAATGACAAATTCGTCAAATCAATTTATTGATAAAGATGTCTTTTTTTGTATTTTTATCTCTCCAAAGTGATTACCAACATAATCTCTACATGCACTACAATGCTCTTTCTGACATCTTCTCACAAGATTTATTGATAATTGTCAAGCAGAAAAGAATGATTATAATGAGCAAAAAATAGTCTCACATGTTACCTGTCTCAATGTTTACAATAAGCAGCTGAATAACGTAGAATATCAGATCCATAATTGTTGGGAAATTATTCTTCTGAAGAATATATTACACAGGGTGTCTTTTTACGAGCTAAACAGGGAATGTTCGGTATTATTTTGGATCTAACATCTGTCAATTCTTGTTTTCCTTGACAGATGTCAGATGAAATTTGGCTGCATAGATCAAATATATTTTGAGTATAGATATCCTTCACTGCTGTCTGAAAAGCAAATTTTTTTCTATTCACTATGTTTTTTCGATATTGCTGTTCCACTAGTAAAACCGTTTGTTTTTTTTTATACAACATGAAATAATCAGGATAATTGAAATATAGGTCAAACAAAAGTTATAACAGTTCTTGTAGTCGATCGAGCAAACAGTACCACCGTTTTTCAAAAGCTTGTCCAAAATCAATGAAATTTGGGGTGTGGGTGTTCGTTTACACTAGAGCTATACTCATGTGCACACCCAGACCCACAGCCACTCCCACACGCACATCCCATCCACACCCTCAGATAAAAAAAAAAGTAATGAAGCAGAAGATTAATCAGCGTGAAAACAAAAAAAGAAGAAAAAATACAACAATTTTGGATTACATTGCATACGTATAATCGTATAGCCAATCATTGAAAAGAGAGCGAAATATCTGTTTATTTTCTCTTTTCAATTTAATCTTTTATATTCTTCATCTTATAATAAAAAGTATCGATGTATATGTTATACAAAATTTTTTATTGTGTAGAACATACAAACGTGATCAATTAAATATATAAAGGCCAAAATGCTATAAATGAAAAAAATACAGATGAGAAGTGATACTTACTTATGTTCATTTTTTTTTATAGAGTCTTCATTTATCAATACATTGATATGCGAATCTATTACTGAAACTATCTGACGATGCCATTATTATATACTAATCTGTTAGTAAATAAATTTTTATTAATAAGAAAAAAAAATTTTATTTAGCATTTCTAAAACTGTTATGATGATCATTACTATGTAAATCCACCTATTTACTTTTGTCTCGACACAACTAAATTGATGATCAATTTAATATTTTGTCTTAGCTTTTTTTGTTTTTAGTTATTCACGTTTACTTGTTCGTTACCCTTGGTTTGTACTTGGTTTTGTCATATTTATCGGCATAATTCTAACAAGTATTGATCTTTTTGTGGCGAAATTACCCGATCTTTCTAATCTAAGAAAAAGTAACATCATGTGTAAAGAAAAGTTATACGAAATAATGTATTATATCTATATCTTAGGGATGGAAAGCGCGTGGAAAAAGAACAATATTTTCACAATTAATGGTTTTACGTCATGCATCAGCAAGATTTCATCTTGCTTATGAAATACCAATAGAAGAAGACGAATCATTTGGTATATTTGCGCAATTTGTTAATATAACTGTTGATCAACTTGATGAAAATTCATATCGATCTGATATATTG